GTTTCATAAATTTTGCTTTATAGCATTACATATTGTTTATTTTTCAGATTTAAAATATTGTATAAGTTGCCAAAATGGAACTTTGTAATATGACAGCAAAAAATAAAAATGGTTTATTTGAATGTTATTTTTTAAATATAATTTCAATATATTACAATTATTTTAATAAAATTTATCATTGTTACAATGTTTTAAAAAAATCGTCGAAAATTTCCCAGATCTCGGAATTAAAAATTTTCTATAGAAACTGATCTTAAAATCACCAAAATGTTGATAGGTCGCCAAATTATAACTGTTCAATAAAAGAATTCACATCCCCAAAAGCAAAAAGTTATTTAAGAGCTCTTCATTAGAAAAAATGAAATAATTTAGAAATGCTTATGTTTCACTTCTTCCTCAGAAACTCAAGTATCCCAGCATTTATATTAGAAATAGGAACGAATTATAATCTATGAACCCATTCATCAATTCAAAAGATAACTATATTTATCAGTGAATTGCCAAAAATATTCCTCCAAAATGCTAATTCACACTCAAAATGGCAGTTAAAAAACAGACAGAAATTTCAGATGATTAAAATTAAGGACCTTCTGCTGATTTTGGCCGAAGTTTTAAAGACCGAAAATCGATTTAAAAAAAACCTAAGGACTGTATGAACCCTGTTACAACTATTTTCAAGAGTTACAAAAATGACAACTGCAGACATGATATGAATATGTCAGAGTGGAGCATGAACTCTTCAGACACTGATGTATGCTGTCTATGAAACTGTTGAGCAGAGCTTACCAGACTCTGCCCCATTTGCCTCTCAGAGTGATTGTAAGTTTCTACACAGTACAAAAGGCATTTCTATTTTTGAACAGTATGTTTGTCCAGTTCATCCAAGATATGCTTTACAGCATATAATTCCATGATATATGCAAACCATGCTATGTCAATATCTTCCTCTTAATGTATCGTATACTTCAGCTGTCTTATGGCACTGTGATCCATAACATAAAGTCTGTACCACCTGCACCACAAAAAAGATAGACATGACCCAGGAGAATTTCTATACAACATCAGTGTAACATCATTGTACTTGCATCAAAGATGTGATGAAGCATTATGCCATTACACATGATACCTGTCTACATACATAATTACTCTCTAGAGATAGCAATTAATTTCTTGGATATTCTGGTTATTCTTGGCTTTAACCCTTTCAGGACGGGCCTCCCATATACGGATTCTCTAAGAATGTCTCTTACAGCCGGGCGCCCCATCCATGCATCGCTAGAGATTGCATTCAGAGGACGGGTGATGCATATACGCATTTTAAGCTGGAGTGTTTTTTTGAAAGCCACTAGATGGCATCCTATGTCCATTACTTTTTGAAATGAACACAGTTTCAGGTTCCTGATCTTGAGTTTGATATATTCTGCTTGACTTTGGTACTATTTTACTCATCAGCTCTTGCAAGGGGGGGGGAGGGAAAGCATAAACAGAGGTGAGCTCTTTAAATTGCTGCGAGCTAATGAAAACATTTGCGTGTCTGATTTATATCCAATTCCTTTTTTATTCTATTTTTTCCTTTACTATGTACAGTCTTTTAGGGTTAGTATGTGGAGTAGTGTTATGTTTTGCATTGCTTTCAGATATATTTCCGTTTCTTCTCTTTTTATTTTGGAAAGCCTCACCTCCAGTATATTATGGCAGGAAGGAGCTATTTATCAGAGGAAGAATACCCTCGTATGGTCAATGAACCATTTATTAACGCAGATGAGAGTGATGATTCATTTTTGAATGAGTTATAAAGTGATACTTTTTCTGAGAGATAGAAAGTGATACTTCTCCGTGCTTCAAGATTTACCACACTCAGTCTTAATTTTAAATTTTGTTACTTCTTACTGTAAATAGTCTTTATTGTGCTGTTTTATTAATTTTAAACTTTATTGATGGATTTTATCAATTAAAACTTTGGAATAATTTGAATAGCACTTCCGAAAATTATTTTACAAGATAAACAATTCTTTAAGTATGTTTTCATATAAAATAAGAAAAGAACGTTATTAAGTGCTAATTTTAATGTATATAAGAGCTCAAGTAATAATCTAAAACGATACCAAAAATTGCGACGCTAGAAGCGAAACTTTTTTTCCTCTGATTTTTTAATAAAATTAGGCTTAGTGATGCAAAACCTCCATCCTGTACGGTGACTGCCTTCGATTCCCTTCCGTCCCGCACAAGCGTCTTAACGAAAGGTGCGCCGTCGCGAAAAGGTTAAGTGCCACTCTCTCTTCATGCTAGCCAATTTCTAGAACTGTGGTTAATGGTGAAGCAAGAGTTACAAAATTGGACCAGAGTTGCTGACTTCAACAAATATGTTGGACTAGATCCTAGAACATAATCTTTTCTGACAATGATGCGCTCATATTGGAATGCATGCGAAAAGATTTTGTCCAACACTGTTTAATTACTGAAAAATGATTCTTACAGGAATGCAAGAGCTAGCAGCACAGGAAAAATCTGAGATATTTTGGTCAGTAGTTGCACTTCCGTTTCTTTTAACCACTAGAATAAGATATCTATCCTCTTTGGGTGTGTGATCCTCCTATAGCATCCAGGATGTTTTCACACATCACTTCCACCTTCAACAACCTTCTTTAACTGCAAAATAACACTCTCCAACTCCATATTACTGTGGCAACTTGTAAGACACTTTTCGAGATATTCAAATGCATGTATCATGATTGTAAACACTCAAACAATATTTTACAGATAATTTGCAATCAATAATTGCTATGAAAAATGAAAATTATCACTAATACTTTCAGAAACTGACAACACGATTTTCCTCTCGGATGTTACTGCTTGCAATTACAAATAAGGAAACAAAAACAATGCAAGTGCAATGTCTTTTAGACAGATAAGAGGACAACACTCTCTATATCTTTTTTCCCTATGACTGTGCTACTGTTGTGAATGAAAATTTTCAGAAATTAATTTTTGCTTAGCAATGGTCAAGCAATGTAGTAAGTAATTTACAATTGGAATTTTATGTTCTTGTATGTCAGTTTACGTTTAATGTGTCAGTTGTAGTCTGTTTCTGTCACAAATGAATGCTAACTATTTTGTAATTTCTGTGTAACTGTTGCTTTTGAATTGCACAGGATAATAAATAAAATCTCTTATTTTACATTTCAACTATGAAATATTCATAATGTTTTAAAAGGTGAGAGAGATCTATTCACAGAGGAGAGAATAAAAGATTTTGCAGTTTTGAAAGAAGCACAAAATGTGCATTATTGTATACTTGTCCAAGTTACAGATATCTTGTTTGGTTTTTCTTTTCTCTTTCTTCTTGTTTAATACCAATAATTTTTCACTGCAGCTGGAATTCAACACAAATGTGAGAGCACTCTATGGAGAAGTGGTTGGTAAAAATAAAAATACAGTATACAATACTTATCTCATTGGCCTAGAATATAACAAGTTTTCCACTTTACTTACAGTTTAGATTTTAAGCCCATTACATCATTCAGTCCAGAGTAAATCTTCCATGGATTTACTTTGCTTATTTATCCAAAAATTTTAAGAACACAAATGTGGGTTTAACCCTTTCTAGGCTGGCATTGCATTTCACGTGTTCGGTGTTTCTGTGCCCATCAGTTGCATGCCATGCAACGAAGTGAAAAATTCCATCGTTGAAATTGAATTCGTTGCTACTCATGCGTCACTTTAAATTCAGCGATTATTTCTGAATATTACTAAGAGATAGCACGACTAACCCTAGTTTCTTTAAAATTTTCGCAGTGAGAGTTCCCACCTTAAATATCTGTTACTGATTATCCGCGCGATATCAGTTAGAACTTCAACTAAAAAATACCATTCAAAATATTTTTGATATTCATAGCCATTTTTTTTGATAAAGTAAGGAGAATATTATTATTTTTTTTGATTAAATGAATGATTTTGACTTTGTAATAAATATTGTTATTATGCTCTGATGTCCAAGGCAGGTTGTAAAGCTGTTTTAACGGTAAGGATGAAAAATAATTTTTTAAGTAATTTTAATAATTATTTTTTTGTACATATTTATATTAAACAAATCAAAACAACAGAGTTAATAAATATAGTATCACACTATATTTTTTTTAACTTTAAAACTTGGGTGCATTGCAGAGAAAACTGGTGATCAGTGGATGGGATATCACATATTTGACCACAATAGGTCCATCAAAAATATTTTGCATTTTCGAATTTAGGATAGAACATATATTAATTTTAAGCAATAAAAAAATGCTTTGTACTAGTGCTGAAGATATGGGGGAAAAAAACCCTCTTCTTAAATTTGTCCCATTTTTAAAAATGACATTTTCTCTGACATGCTGAAGTACTGATATAGTAAATATTAAAATTAGAAAGGTAAAATATGTTTATCTCCTATTTAAAAACAAACTAATACATGATATTATAAAATAGAAAATGTAACAGTTAAGATAGCAATTTTAGCCTTAACTGGAAATATATAAGATCTATAAGTGATTTTGTTTTACAGTATAACTTAGGTGCATGATTTACATTAAATGCAACTAATGAAACAGATATTAGCACAGTAGGTTCTTTTCTAATGTATGCTTAATCTGCATAAATGTTGCAAGTTCTAGAACAAATATATGAAAGGAAAAAAAATGAATGTCACAGCAGTACTGATAAATATGCGTTTGACTCTTGCATATGATACAGTGATTTACCTCCCTTGTGTATGCAATACCAGTCTACACCTAATACTGCCCTCCAGTTACTCATGAGATGATGAAATGACTATTTAGACATCTGCCAGAAAATGCCAAATTGGCAAGTGTCCAGATAGTAATAAGGGGAAAATGTTAATAAGTTTAATAATATGCATTCTACACTAATAATTCCATTTAAATACTTCTACTCAAATATAAATATAGTTTTGGAATAAATAACATACATCATAAATATTAAATTTGAGCTAAAACTCTACTCACATCCACTACTTAAACCATAGGGACCTAATAAAACACCATTTTCACTTAGCTTGCCTGAACTACCAGACCTTTGGAGAAAATTCATGTCTTCTGTTTCAGGTATAGTTCCACCTAAAATGATTAATTATTATAAACTAAAACAGACTTCCTTATTTGCATAATATAGTATTTTCATAAAGCAGTTTACAGTTATATATAATAAATGAATCAAATCTTTATTTCATATTATAATATACAACTAAAAATTAAGCATTTTAAGGCAAATTTATCTTTTGAAGCAAAGTGCTGAAATGTAAATAATTAACATCATTACATATTATTACAATTTAACACAATTATATTAATACAATAGCATTCCTATTTAAAATATACAACACCATAAATTTGTTTCATCATTTAAAGAAAATATAGTACAGTTTTCTAACAGGATTTCTTAATGATCAAAGTTTTAAATGACTTAAATACTGCTTAATAAAATATAATTAGCTAAATTCTCATTAAAAATTGAAATTAACTTCATTAAGAAATAAACTGATGTGGTATTTGAAAATGTATATTAATGTTCATCATGCATAGATCATAGACTTTTTTCTTTCTTTCTTTTTGGTAGCAATTAACAAAATTCTTAAAGAGCATATTTACTCCCAGCAAAGTATCAGTATCACAAATGGTTTGTCTGATAAGTATCATACACGCTCCAAAAGATATTCTCAAGATTTCTAAAAAAAATATTTGGCTAAAGATATATAAATATCTCAATTAATACTACAACTAGAACTTACAAATTTATAATTATTTATTTAATTACCCCGAGTTCTTTTAAAAGTGTAAAACAGCTTTTATTTCTCTGAACCCTAAAATCAAATTATCAACTTCCAATTTTTTTCACTATATTAAAGGTCTATTGTAAATGTGTACATATATGAACTCATCTTACGTTACCACTATTAGTGCAACAGAATAAAATGTCTTTTGGAAATGATTTTAACTACAGATGTTGATTTTGATGGATTCACCACAATTGTTTCTGATGCACAATAAAAAAAAAAAAAAAATTGACAGACTTTTTCAAATATTAAGTTCAACAACATGATTTCTGGCTATCTCCTTTTTAAATCATGTTCAATTTAAAATTTACAAATAATGAAAATTAATCTAATTACCTTTAAAAAAACTTTATCACTTCTTTAATTTATGGTTATTTAATTTATTCTTCTTTAATTTATAATGAATTTTAATGCAGATGGAAGATAAGGATTTAGTTATGTGAAGCAAAAAATTTTACATGTATTTTACTTGGCAGCAACAGTACTAGATATGTGCAAAAGGTTCTACCTATTTCTAAATCTAAAAACAAAGGCGGAAAACAGCTACAATTTCATGCGAGCAAAGCAGCTAAGCTTTCGTCTGATCGTCATTGTTATGTATGACCTCTTGCATTTCATCTGAGTGGGTTTATCTCATGCTGATAAATCGCCTTTGTTTTATAGTCATGATGTTGTTTTCACACTTCTTTTATCATAAAACATCTGGAAAATGAAGATGTTCTGGAATGAGCAAATGAGATGGTAGTGTTTAAAGGCAAGACTTCAAAAATATTAGATGGGATGATACTTCCCAATCAAACATTTGCAACGTTTGTCAAGCAATTCAAGCAGAATGATTCCAGACATTATCACAATAAAAGATGATGTCCTTGAGTTTAACAAGTGCCAGCCACTAAGACGTCAGTTCTTCTCTTGGGTAGTCCAATTACTAACAGTGGAAATCTGGACTTATCTTTTTTGGTAACATTTGGGTAGATTATTTTTCTGACATTTCACCACATACCTAACAAACAACAGCACAATTCTGCAACTAAACACAGTCCTTCAATGACTGACATTGCAGTGCAGTACCCAATTATAATTTTCCATTATAATTAATTACAAAAAATCATTCCCTTCTGTAACAAAAATGCACAGGTATGGACTTTTTTCTCTTGATGCTTCACAGAAACTTGGTGTGGAATTCACTGATTAAACATCATGATGAACACTGGTGTCTCCAAACACTTTTCATATGCTATTCTGTGTATTCTGAATATTGTATATGCTGTTCTGTGTGTTTCTGCTTGTTTGTAGGCCGCTGTTTTAAAGCCTTTTATCTGTCACTTCATTAGAAACTATTGATGAGAAACCAGAACTAGACTGATCTGTAAATTATCTGTACCATTACTGAATTCTTAAAAACCAATGGTAATGTACTATTATCAACTGCATAATCTTCATACATTTGAGAAATGCTATGGCAAACAGCAAAGTCAGTACTACTTTTATCAGACTTGTACAATACACGATGGCTGATGTGTTTCTTATGGTGCATTATTTTGATATGTAAACACATGAGTTATTCTGACAAACTGAATACTTTTATATGACCTATTGCTACCCTCTTTGCTGATAAAAATTACCAGTTATTCAGTATCATTTGTGACATTTATCATCTGATCACAGTTTGCACCTACAAAATGTGAAAATTTGCATACAGCCAATAACTCCAAAGAAACTATTAGCAATATTACAATAATTTTAATCATAAATAATTCAAGGCCTATGAAGATGTATTTAGCAATTATCTGCTACTTAAAACTCTTGTCCTACGGAAAATAGTGAATATAAAAATAAATTGTCTTTGATCCATCTTTTTTTGTTGTCAGGTTTGTAAATATTAACTACTTTTTTCCTTTTTCCTTCCCCCCTTTTTTTAAAGGAGGCAAAGGTAAGTGATTTTAAAACCAGTAAAATGAATTTTTAGAGTATGACATAATTTCTACTTTATGGGGAAAAAATTGAGTCCAAAAATCAGTACAAAATAAATTCACGTGAACTACATTCAGCAGGTTTACCAAGAATTAATGTAAATTAAAAAATGTGAGATACATGATTTGAATAAATATTCTCAGCAAACAGCAGAGTGGATTAATCTTATATTAATTTCATATAACTAGGAAAAAGCACAAAGCAGGTCAAATATTATATTAACATTAACATACAAATGCTAACTATGTTTAAAAAATGTTACAACATTTTTCAACAACAAATAGATGTGGTTAGGTAGTTTAGTACTCAAAAACAGAATAGTCTTTCACTGTAGCTTAGATCAATAAAAAGCAAAAATGGCAGTTGTTATCCATAAAATTTCCTTTGTGTGTGTGTGTGTGCATATTAATGTCTTTGTGTATATGTGTGTGCCTAATGTTGATGCATAATTTCACATACGTTAACTCATCCCTTAAAATCATCAACAGTGTCACACAGAATACTTAGTTAAAGCACTTACAGTACACAGCAGATGAATATGTTTAAAAAATATTACATGACATTTTTCAACAACAAACAGATGTGGTTAGGTAGTTTAGTACTCAAAAATAGTATTAGTCTTTCATTGTAGCTTAGTTAATAAAAAGCAAACATGGCAGTTGTTATCCATAAAATTCTCTTTGTGTGTGTACATCTGTGTGCCTAAATTTGCTGCATAATTTCACACATATTGACTCGTCACTTAAAAGCATCAGCAGTGTCACACAGTATACTTAGTTAAAGTACCTACAGTATACAACAAATGAAGTTTCTGAGCACCTACCTATTATAGCAAAGAAAACATTAATATTTCTATTGCCAAATTAATATTAGATCAACACTTTAAAGAATTTTTTTTTAAAATTTGTCTTTTGTTTTCTAAATTTGTCTAATGGTTTAAAAATGGACACATTTTCCTACCTTTCATTGGTGTTAAATTACAAAGCAGGTATACTTATTCTATACTTATTATTTAATATTGTATCACTTAAAAACCTAATTAGCATTTTCAGTTACATAACATCATTTTTATTAAAGCAAGTTTCAGTTATCAAAAATATTATTAAATGTTAATATATACATACAAAATATGTGTACTGGTTTTCCCCTTTGAAAGGCATAAACAAGTCTGTGAATTAAGTTATATATTAACATATTTGAGCATTTTTTCAGCTCTATAATGCGAAATGATTCAATTTCTGATTGGAATAATATTTTCCATACTTGGCCATATATCCTTTGTGTTGAACTCAGGGAGAGTCATTGCTCTTCCGGCACCAAATGTAGCTCGAAGAGGACAAGTAGAATTGTTCCTGAAATCTAAGGCCCTAAATGCTCCGTGCTCATTGCGACAGTGATAAGGATCACAGCGCCTTAACTCTCTGCAGGGTATGGGTGATACAGAATTGCTTGGCATGCAACAATTTAGTGGAGGTGTAGATCCTGGAGGTATAAAAATTGAGGATACCAAGTTCATGAAATAAAAATAAAAATAAATTAACGAAGATAGGGAAAGACCTAATAATGGATAAAAACACAGCTTTGCAATCAATTAGGGAAGAAAATGAAAATAAATAGGCTGAGATATGAAGATGCATAAGATGTTACTTGGAATAAAAAGAATAAATGATTGAATCTGGAGAAGCATATCTAACCTTAATATATATTTCTCTGAAATTAATTTACATTAATTCTGATATTCAAAGTATAATACTTGAACTACAGTTACACAGCTAAGATTTTCTACATACTATACGATACTATTTTCGCTTTTTAATTTTTTGGGGGGATATAGAGTGTTTACAGCATATCCATTAAAAATCTTAGCACTCTATTATGGTCATATATTCATATCCAGTGTTTAAAATGATTAAAATCTATATTATTTTATGCTGCAATATAATAAACTAATAAGATGAAAATTATCTATGACAGAATATTAAAAGCAAATGGCATAAAAAAATTTAAAGTGCCATGCAAATATAAAAATGATTTTAATAGTAGTAAATGGAATTAAAAAAAAAAAAGCTTGCATTAGGAATAAAATCTGACACTGCCAAAATAAAATCCGTAATTCAATACCAAATCTAAGTAACATTTTTAAGTACGGTATCGTTAGCTACACTGCAATAGAAGCATAAGAACTTACATGATATACAGAGTGCATAATTAGCTGCAGCTAGACTCAGTTATAGCTGTGATTACAATACACATTCAGCAGATTGGTCAGTTTAACCTCTGTTTCTGATTTCATGGTATTATCAGGTTTTTCTATCCAAATACAATACCATGTGTAAGTCAAAATTTGATAATGTTCAAACAACATTACCTTCTCTTTTTTTTTTTTTTTTTTAAAGAATCATTTTGAAACAGACTATCTTATACAAATCAGGATCTCTTTTAATCACTGCACTGCATATTCATACAGCTTCTAAAACTGTTTCTCTTAATAACTCTTAAACTTAATTTTATTCTTTGTATTTCTTCTCCATTAAACTAACTTTTTAACTCTAAGAATTTATATTTTGTACTCTTCAAAACAAATATATAATATTGTATACATTAAAAAAATGTAACAAATGCCTATTATGGAAATTTTTGTCTTAAATTATGAAATACATACCCCTTTTTATAATTCTTATTGTAAATATATTACACACACCCTTTCCTTTAATTTCAAAGAAAAATATCTCTTCAAAAGAATGAATACTTTCAAATTTTAAATATCTTACAAATAAATTTTCAAACTTCAAGAAAAATTTTCTTGAACTTGATAATTCTTATTAAAAATCATTTTTCATTTAAATCACAATCAGTAGTTATACACAACTACCCCAAACAGAGTAATAATTAGCTAAGAAAGCTGTTACTGCTTCTCATTTTTATACCTATACTTTGTTGAAATAAAACATGAATGCATTGAAAGTGCAAAGCTGTGTCTTAGCAAACTTAAAAAGAAATTAAAAATGAAACAACATTGTAGAAAAGGAGAATGCTAGCATGATGAAGGAAAAAATCAGGTGCATGCTAATTAAACCACAACGAAATATGACAAATAGGAAATGTAACAAAAAACAAAACAAAACAAAGAAAAAAAACCTTTTTACCATCATTCAATGTGATACAACCAATGAGAGAGACATGAATGTATCTTTCTCACAAGAACCTACATTCAGTGGTGAGCTTTACTATAGTAATACACTTATACTCTTAAAGAATACACACTTCACACTTCTTATACTCTTAAACACACACTCCTTACACTCTTAAACTTCACATTTCTTATACTCTTAAAGAATATAAAAGAGATGTTCTATAAGTACTGAAGATTTACACTTTTAAAATTTTACACGTTAAAAGTTAAGATTATTTTTTATACATAGAAAATATGTGAATTAATTTAACATATTTCAACTTGACATTCCATTGAAATGTTAACATTTAATACAAAAACATAAAAACTAAAGTGTAAAAATTAGCAATATAAAAAGATGCCTATTTGGTGTCATATCAAGCAACACTATTTTTTAACTTTGCACTATAATTTCCCTTGATTCACATATGAGTATATCGAGATTTTCATTAATAATCTGTTGAATTTTAACTATATTAACTTTTCACAATATTTTCAGTCACTTAAATACCATAAAAATGTAATATTTTCTAGTAATTCCCTTCTTTTTCACCCATTTCAATAATCATCTAAAACGGTAAAAATATTCTGTCATGAGCAAAACTGTTTCACAAAAAAGCTCCTTCCAAGCTGTGGTACTTCATGATGGGGAATCTAAAATCCCTAACATTTAAATCCTATTTGAGGATTGTAAATATTATTCTATTTAATTTAATGTTTGCACATTACATGAACTGCTAACTGGACAGCTATCATGCCAATAAGCTGCCAACTGGCAATTTGTGTAGTTGGCAGAAAGGTTAACTACCTATTGGACCAAAGCCAAATGTCAGTTCTGTAGGTCAGATTAGCTTGCAGCGATAACAAAAGTCACAGAGGTACAGATTAGTACACTAAAATTTACATATACTCACAAAGAAGTTTTTTTTTATAGGTGGTATTCTACAAGAAAATGCAATGTTATGAAGTACAGCTTAAATGCATGATATGTTAAATTACTGGAGAAATTTTACAGTTTTTGCAATTATTGAGTTCATTAGTGAAACATAGTTTAAAAGAATAAACTAATATAATACAATTATGTTAAAATTTAAATGCTGCCAATTTGAATAAATGTTCATACAGCAGAACTTTACTTCAACATAAAAGCAAAACTGACATTACCTGACCGCCTCAGTGGTGATCCAGAGAAAGCTTGTGGAGGAGTAGCCTGATGTCTCCAGCTGGTGGGTGTCTGACGTCCTGAACCTGGTGGTGGTGTACTGCCACTGAAACTCCTAATCCTACCACCTGCAGGTGGTGTGCCAATAGTAAATTGAACTGAAAAATAAAAAGCAAAATGTATTATAATTGATAAATATTAATAACAAAATATATTGAGCAACAACTTATAGAAAATGTTTCATAAGAAATGACCGCTAATTGAAAAAAAAAAATTTTTTTCCCCCAATTATCCTAAAGTCTACAACACGAAGAATACTCACACATGTAAGGAAACAAAAACACATGCTATGAAGCAAAAGTTTTTCCCCCCTTTCTCTTCTATTCAATAATCAGGAATTCCTTTTATATGAATAAAATGAATCTTATTTATTGTTTTCAGCACCATAAAGCAGGATGCAGAAAACAATAAATAAGATTGACAGTTTCTTCTCAGGCATGTAATGACATATGGATGACACCCTGAAGTGAAGCACACTATGTTAAATTCAAAATCAAATAAAATTCAACTTTAGTATGATCCCATACCAGTTTCTTTTGAAATGCATACACTTTAGTTTAAAATAACATGCTGAATAGCAATTATTGGAGAAGTTAAGCAACAAGAATCAGTATAATGTTGATAAATTTGTAGGACTAGTTGCTACGGTTTATAATACCGTAGAAAGTAGTCCCGCAAATAGTTAAAAACAGTTTTCTACGGTTAAATACAGAACCATCTTCTTCAGCTGTCTGAGAGCAATCTGATTCCTGCTGTTTAACTTCTCTAACAATGCATACACTTGCTTCTGTAAAATCAATATCAACACTTGAATTTTGACTAATTCTGAACAAACATCTAGTCTAAATACACAGTTCATTTTAATACATTAAATTTATAAACCTTTTCATTTTTGTAACCACTGACCAAAGGTAGGCTGGGTCAATTAGTACTGCCAAAAATTATTACATAATGGATTTCTTACCTTTTCTAAAAATATTAATGTAGTAAAATCAATAACTACAAATTACCATCCTACTGAGCTGAAATTACTGAAGGCCTAAGTTTTAAGTAATGTCAATATTAAAGTAATAAAAATTCTATTCTGATTTATTCCTATCTTCCATTAACTTTATTTTGGTTATCAATAACCTTCAGCATTTACTTGTAAAATAAAATTAAGGTACAAATCATTTATTACAGGTAATACAAAAATTAAGTAAGCTTAACTAAAACTTATGTAAGTTAACAGAATAATAATGGTATTCATTTAAAGCAGACCTGGGCAACATGTGGCCCATTATGTATAACTGTGTGACCAGTCGAGTGATTTTATATATCTAATTAAACTTTTGTTTTTCATTGCATGTACACAAAAAATATTAAATGAATTATGATTTGAAATAATGATAAAAATTTAAATTTTAAATTATGATAGAAAAACCACGTAAAAAAATGTAATACAAATTACACACCACTAAGTGATAATTTCACCAAGGAGCAATCTTAGTTGTGTATGGAGTCAAGGCTGACTCGAGACACTACACATGCTTGGGTCCATTATTACATAATGGATGTTATCCACTGCAGAAATGAAATTAATGTTTCAAGTGAATCTCTGTCAAAGTACCTGTATGTTAACCTTTTATATGCCAATTTTCCATAAATGGAACATTGAATTTAAAATTTCATAAAAAACACAATTTTATTAATATTGCTTTGTATAAATTATTACATGGAGAGTAAATATGGATTGATTTTAGTAGCAATACAATGCTTCTAAAAGAAATAGTATCTTGATAAAAAAAATTCCTTATTTCAACTTTTTTCCTACTTTTCTAAGAGCAAAATTCAAATAAAATTTTAAATTCAACAAATGTTTTTAAAAACCAATGAGGATATTTAAAAATGATCATTTTATGCATAGACAGTAAGTTATCATAGACAGATGATCATTATTTTTTACTCTGAGGTAAGAAATGTAGATGTTCCAGAAAGGGAACATTGGCATGTAAAGGTATATTTTTTAACACTATGAAATTTCTTTGACTGCCATGAATAGAGGCAAGGGGAAAGATTTTCCAAATGTGAAAAGTTCCAGTAAGTGTGGAAAATAGAAAATGCAATGCAGAAAGGAGAAGTTTTAGCTGTAGATGAAAATGATATTGGATAGTTTTTTGGATTACTGTTGTTTAGCGGGTACCATCAAGTAAGTACACGCCAAAGATTTATCTGTCTCAGTAGTTTTTTCTGTAATGCCGAGAAATAGATTTCGAAAATTGAAAAAATATTTTCATACTACAGACAATACCAAGTTGGCATTAGGAGATAAAACATTGAAAAGTTTCTCTTTTTTATGAAGAACAGGGAAACAAATTCAACAGTTCGGCATCTTCCATTCTAAATTGAGTATGGATGAATCGATGGTCCCCTTTTATGGTCATCATTCGGTTAAAATGTTCATCTGAGGTAAACAAATTCCATTTGGTTATAAAATATGGATGTTGTGCTCCAATAATGGCTATCCATATGCAATGAGAACCTGTAGTGGGAAGAGTTCAGTAACAGAAAACTCCCCTCTGGGATCTAGAGTTGTGTGGGAACTTTTATCAAGTGTTGAAAATCCAGGTAAGCATGGAATTTATTTTGATAACTTTTTTCCATCCCATAAATTGTTCACGGATTTATCTGAAAAGAACTTTAAAGCAACTGGGACAATTCGGGATTTTCGGACAGGAAGATGCCCTCTCAGATCTCCAAAGGAAGCTTCAAAATGGCAAAGAGGAAATTTCGATTACCGAAGTGATGGTAGTATTTGATTGGAAAGACGCTGTAGTAACTATAGCATCCAATTATTCAAAGCATGAACCTGTCAGTAAAGCTAAGAGATTCTGCGGGACCAAAAAAAAGAAAATTGATATTCCTCAGCCATATCTCATAAAAATGTACTATGAAAGAATGGGAGAAGTCGATTTGCTAGATAGACTTCTTGGATAATATCGACCTATGTTTAGAAGCAAAAAATGGTACTGGAACCTATTTAGCAATGCATTAAATATGGCTGTTGTTGTCAGGTGGATTTTACATTCACATTTGCACAAAGATACAGAAGCAGAACTGATCTCAATTTCAGGAGAGAAGTAACTTTATGTCTGCTTCACATGAAACCAAAAGTCCATTCAGTTCCTGGACCTCGTGCACATAACTCTGAATCTTTGAGAAAATCAGATTCACATCATCTTGTGCCAACAACACAAGGATGTTGTGCTGTATGTCAGAAGAACACTACAAACAAATGTTTTGAGTGCAAGCAAAGACTGCATCAGAAATGCTTTCCTAACTATCCTGGACAGTAGAAAAAAAGACTCAGAACATAAAAAAAATTATTATTTTTTGTCCTTCCAGAAATGTTGGTAAGTTTCTATTTTTACTTGTATTATTTAACTTTTTATTCACGATTCCTGCAGCATGAATTTTTGTATGGAGATTCATTGTTACTTCTTTATTCTACAACTCTTTTCCTCGTTTCAGTATAAAATGCTAACAATTCATGTAAAATTCTTTTAGGAATTCCTGCTTATCAACTATGTAATTTTTGTTTTAATTTATTATGAAAGCTTTTTTCTGTGGAAGCTTCATATCTTCTCCTAAGAAACTTTGGTGGAGTAGCTTTGCAGTTCTAAAGGTGTAGACTCCCTATTTTTTTGCTTAATCTATGTTACTTCCGAATAATGTTGAGAAATCCATTTGCTAATGCTGAAAAAGTGCAGACAAAAATGAAGCTTCAAATTAGAATGTCGATAACTATGTTTTACAAAAATCATGTAAAAAAACTGTTTCCCACCAATGTTCCATTTATGGAACATGTTATAAATCATCAAAAAAATTTTTTTAAATTTATTTTCTTTTTTAATGAGTTTTAAATCGATTTTTCACAACGAAACATTTATTTTACTTTCACATCATAGTGTGGCGTGTAAAAGGTTAAGAACAAAAGTTTTATCAAAGCAGGAATCGCTCTGTCGGTCTGCGGAGGGAAAAACATACTTGAAGCTTACTTTACAGGACTATCTATCCAGCCTATACCTTTTTGTGCATATGCAAAATAGCTCTCGAACTACAGTTGAAGCACATCCAGCCTTAATATCTTTTTATGCATGTGCAATATAGTTCTCGTGCCAGTGTCAAAAGTCATGCTTATCAAGTTTTTTGTGTGTGGTGCTTACAGGTGAATAAAACTGATATCTGAAGACATTCAAAGAAAGTTTGAAATTTATTTAAGTTAATATATTTTTATTAATGCAAAAAAATTTAAATTTAGTAAGAATTTAATAAGTGCTACATTCATAAAAGCTATTATAAATTTTGAAGTGTCAAGTGATCATTATTTGCATTAAGTTTTACAAGGGCTTCAAACTGGAACTGAAAGAAAACCGAAATGATGATTGGTTTTTAGACCTACATTTTTTAGTGGATGTAGCAGAAAAACTTAATCAGCTAAATATTGACTTGCAAGATAATTTAATATTTGATGCTTATTATCAAAGCTTTTAATACGAAATTAGTGTAAATTTGAGTGTCAACTTGAGATAATAATGCTCAATATTTTAAACTGTTAAATAACTTTTGAAAATGATTCTCAAAATAATAATCTATCATACCAATAATCAAAATAATAATCTATCATATCATATCATCTCAAAATAATTAAATAACGAATTTTTTTACAGTATTTGATAATTGTTTTTCAAAATTAGCAAAATATGATTAAACATTTGAAATATTTTCATGCCCCTTTCATAAAATTTGTAAATGGAGTTGAGTTACAGCGCAACAATGAAATGAAGCAAATTTTTGTGTCGACGTCTAGAATTAATTTTTACAATACTTACACTACATCAGAGAGATATTATAACTTAAGATATTTGGCACAAAACATTGTAAGTGCTTTTGTATTAACATATGTTTGTGAAAAATTTTTTCAAAGACGAAATTTACAAAGAGTTCATCACATGCTTCATTAACTGATACCGATTTAGGAAACCAGCTAAGATGTGCAATGTCGAACATAAATATATAGATTTACAAAAATTCAATGAAGGATAGGATAAAAAAAATATCTCAACAATCAAGACTTGGAAGTTCATAACATTTGAATCATAGTATAACAATAAAGTTTAATTCATCTTGTACTTGTATTTTTTAAAAGCATGTTTACTTAAAGTACAGGCTGCTATAAAGTTCCTCATCATCAAAGTGGCTTATGAAACAATTTGAGTTGGCCAGGTTTGATTTAAGATAACTTAAATTGATCTGTTTCACATTACAGTAAAAAATCTGAAATCTGGACTTTAGAAATATAAAGAACTGGATGTTTTTGTGCCAAAAATTCAGAAGTTCTTTAAACTGGCAATTTGATTTAAAGTCAGATGCATAGTTCAAGTTATCAAACTAATTCTAATATGATTTTAATATAAAATATATTAAAAACAATCAGAATTAACAGAATAAGAAAGAATAAAAAATCAATTTTGTATTTTTTAAAGTATCATACAGACGAAAACCCAAACACAAATATACAATTAGCAGGAAGTGCAATGTTAATAAAACTACACTCTTTTACCAGTGTTCGCAGTGGCAATTCCATGCCACTACCAATTCATGCATGATTCGTATACAGCATTTGGGTGGACCGACATTCCACTTTGAAAAGTAAAAAATCTAGTTCTGAAAAGAATTTCAAAAACTTACACAAATGAAATGAGAAATCCGCTGCAGTTTTAACATAGGCAGGTCATATTTAAATTATGTATAAATTGATGCAATTGAGAATATCAAAAGTGTGGTTACAGAGAGTAATAATTTTATTTTCAAGGAAGAAAAAATTTTATTTATCAAATACTTTTAAAATATGAAGATAATAAAATTAATAATTAATGTGTAATCTGGTGGATAAAATTAGTAATGTATTATTCACAAATTCTATACTAAATTAAATACAATTGTTTACATATTAAATGTTACTTCAGTCTACATAAACTGTTCTCTTATCTAGAAAATATAAAACAATTAAAATCAAATAAAAATTAATGAAAAATATCACTCAAGAAAACATGGAATTTGCCCAGCCTAAGTTTCATTAAGGGATGACATCATCATTGTAAGAACTTTTTTTTAAGAGCTGGTGATACAAATGTACTTTATACCATTTTCCTTCATGTAGTTCATTCCATTATTTGTTAGGCAAAACCATTTTTTGAATTTTGCCAAGAATAATCTTAGTGATTTTCATGAACTGAAAAACGAGCATTAGCCAATGAATAGTTTCGACTCTGGTTCAGACTTTCAGAGACGTGAGGAGAGGTCAATGATGCTCTACTCGGTAGCGGCAGATGATAAATATGTAATCTTTGTAAATGGCAATTTTTGTAACTTGTTATTAATGTGATGTTTAAATATATATTTAGTGTCCATCCACTTGTGACCTCTTTATTCTGTAGATTACTTCTTTTGCATCCATTTGAACATACCAGCTGAACAGTCACACCGGGCAAAAAAGGTAGGTCCAATTTATATTTTTATTACATTGAAATAAAGATGATCTACCTTTGAAGAATATAAAAATTAAGAAATTATTTTTTTGATAAATTTAATAATACAAATTATACCATAGTATGCTATGCAATTCTGCATTAAATTGTTTGTTTCCCATGTCCAACTAACATTGTTAAATAAGTACAAACAATATAAGTCAGCCTCGAATACCAACTAACACTACTAGCCAATATATTATGGAGACAAAAAGTGCCTAGTTTGAATAATGTTACAATGGATCATTCATATTATTGAGGTATGTTGTATTTGAAAGATATTATTCAATTCAGATAAATTAAAACCAAGTGATATGGAGATTTAGTAAGAGATGTTATAGTCATATATATTAGTCATCTGATTTTACGGCGAGGGCTGGCTGCTGATTTATACATTTAATTTTAAATCATTACTAATTTTACAATACCTGTAGGTGGGGTAAATGAGCTGATATCTGCAATGCGAAAGGTATCACTGCCACCAGAATTAACGGAATCTCTTCGTGTTCTGTCAGAAAATGCAGGTGCAGATTCCTAGAAACATCCACCAAAAAATTACAAACTATTTCAAGAAACTATAAAAATTAAATAACTTAAAATTTTCAATAAAATATTTAAGCACATAGTAAAAATATTATTCATTTTTAATATTTTAGTATTGTTGGAAGGATTATTACTGATTTCTAACCTTTGGCGAAGTAGGTGAAGTCCCAGGAGACAATATCTTTTTAGAGAGATCAAAACCTTCCTGGGGTGAAGAGGCAGGAGTATTTTGAAGACTGTGTTCGATCTGTTCATAGGCTACTTTCTGTGTTGGCACAGGTACAGCATCTACTAATACGTTAGTTGGTGCTACATGGTTATCAGAACCAGTTTCAGAGATTTGCATGGATGAAGTATGAGGCTGCTCTTCTGAAGTGACATGCATCATCTGGTATTTAACAGCTTTAGTAGCAAGGTTTATATTGGTATTATGAGTAGATTTCTTAAATGCTGAATTTGTTACTGGCATTTTTGAGGGCGATCTGAAAAGATACATAATTTTTTAAATGAAATTATGTAACAAACATAATTTTTTAAATGAAATTATGTAACAAACTATCTAACAAATAATTTTCACTTTTCATTACAGAATTCGCTAAATTAAAACTAAAAAAGATGGATGATTCGGAAATATTAATTAGTTTTACAAAGCTAACATTTTCAGTGCATTAATTGTGTCTATTCATAGACATAAAGATTTTATCTGCAATTTTATGTTTTTAAATTATTTTCTGTTGTTTTATTATTTAAATATAGATATAACAGATTACTTACAGTAGCAACTGAATTTACATGAGTATACTAGTATTTGGCATACGAAATAATATTTTTTGTTCCCCGTGGCAAATACAAGATAACACAGAACTAAATAAACAATACTCACCTTTTCTGCACATTCTACAAAACTCCTCACATGCAATACACTATTTTCCATTAGTCTTATCCCTGTCATTGAAGAATTTGAGCAGTCTGCTCATAACATTTCTTTAGAAAATAAAATAAATAAAAAAGAGATTTAAAATTTTAACTCTTTGAGCACCATGACTGCCTTTATCCAGTCACAGGATTTTTTTTGTAACTTTGCATATATTAGCTTATAATTTAAGATATATTGCTTTCTTACTTTCTTTAACAATATAAATGCCATCTTAATAAATGCAAGTTTATGAAAATAGAGACTAAATTAAGTAAATATATAAATTTAGCTGATAAAGGCTATTTAAATACAGGTCTAGATGATAGATCTAAAAGTCCGAGGCACTCAGAGGATCATACATTTAATTATGGTTTTGAGAAATAAATGATTCATTTCAGCATGCCGTTATTTAATCTCTTCCTGAACACCTAAACATTGCAACATTGTATGCGTTTACTAAAGCAATATTTATACTCAGTTCTCAGGTAAGATGATCAATAACAAGCTATCATGCAGCTGGCAAGTAAGCCCAGTTTACCAATTACAAGTATTTTCACAGATGGCAGCACATGTGCTAAATCTATAATAGCTCCTTAGTATTTTTACATGCATATTTCAGTTTGTAAAGTTATATTATTAAATGTCTTAAAAATGATTTTTTAACTTTTTTAAAAGTTCAAAGCAATGGTCAGTCACTCATATGTAAGTGTTACAAAATAGTCTCAACTGATTAAGTATCATCACAGCTTCTCTGCAAATTTCATAACATAAACTTTCAAGTCATTATAATATGTAGCATTGAACCAAAATTAAATAACAATTTTAAATAAAATCTTTAGAAATTTTTGGATTAACTGAACAAATTCATTCAAAAACTTTTGCACTCTTTTTTTTTTAAATACATTCACATTTTCTTTTTTCTAGACCATGAAGTTCAGCATATTCATACAAAATATTTTTGGCAGTAAGGTCAATTGTTTTTCAAGAATACAATTAAAAGTTGTTCTTCCCCCTATTGCCTTTTCATCTTTCATTATGCTTGTGCTCCAAATGAACTAAGTAATCTGAAAGCTCTCTGGTTCACATACCAATGTGATATATACTAGACAGCATTTTTCATTTTCTCTTATAATAGCCATAACATCTTGATAGAGATTCAGGTTCAGGTGGAAATGTAGTGGGACACCCAATGTTTACTATAAGTAATGTAGGTATAGTCCCACTACACTTTGGTTTATTTTTAAAGTAATATTCAAAATAGTACATAGTATAATATAACACATAATATAAAATAGTATAACAGTATAAATAGTATATTGATATTTTGATTAATATATCTATTAGATATAATTATAGTAGATATAATAGATATAATAATAGTAGGCTAACAGTCATAATTTATGACAGTTCATAATAGTTCCTTGAGATAAAGTTTATTATATGAATCTGTATCTTCTTCCTCTTCTTTTTCCTTTTTTTACTATATCATTATTACTGCAAGGGTAAGTGCAACATCTTGATACAGATGTTGCACTTATCATGGACTTTCTGCTCATAAAGACAGCAACAAATTTACCACCAGATGCTGAAATTCTTTGGATTATTTAATGCATTCTTATTATATGGTCTTAAACCTTGATAAAACTCAATTCTTATTTGTTTTGATTGAAAAAAAAATAAACTGTTAAGATGCTGATCTTCTAACAGAATTTTGTTTGAATTAACATAGTATCGATGTAATCTCCTCCATTATGACTTATTTAATCTATATTCTTGCACATCAAATGCAAGCATGGGTATTCATTTTGTCGCACTCTCTGCTGTCTGAATCAAAAATAAGTGTCTAATAAATATGCACTGTGAAATAATAAAGGAAAAAATTATCAAATCTAAGGGCACATACAAATTTCATCAAGATGCACTTTTTAATTAGCAATAGGATAATAAATCAAAAACTAAGAAGATACTATTCTTTGAAACAACTGTTGTTGCATGCTAAGATATTCCAGGTTTATTATGCACCCCATGTATTACAATAATGTAAAAATGTTTTCATTTTTGTGAAGAACAATACAATAATTTGAAAAATAGAATTTGTGATTTTTCTTATTCTTAATCTTCATAGGCTCATATGGGAAGGGGATAATATGTATTACGGAGAAACTGCAATTTGAAATGCAAAAATTATCTTAAAGTAAGTGATAAACTATCAGAAGTTTTAGATTAAATATAATATTTGGGTTTTTTTAACATATTAGTGTGATAGCATGCATACAAAGATCACATCTAGTCTCAAGTCATTTGATTAATTCGTTAGATGAGAACTGGATCATCATATGCATTTTGCTTCTTCCAATGTAAATTTACACATTCAGTATGTTTTTGAAGTGTGCCAGGAATGCACAGTGTTCTCATTGTATTTGTTTTTTCTGCTACCATAATAGATATTACTTGCATTAAAAGTAATATCTGCATGGCAGAAACTGAATTATTTGCCATTTTTTCTCTTCAACAATTAGCACATAGAGCATGTTTGAAAATCTTTGAAATTAATACATACATGAATTTTAATTTTTGATTAAAAACTATACAATAGCAGCTATGAAATTTAAACTGTTATGAAAACTAAATATTTTTGGCCTACATTCTTATACAGAAATGTAATTAAGACTTTATAATTCTATAATAGTTTAAATTGAATAATATTCTCACAATGTTTTATATGCATTGATACTTCTAAATTCTGCATCAGTTTTTATACCATCTTTTGTAAATATCTTTTTATATTTTTTTATTTTTTTTTTTGTGCATCAGTTTTTATACCATCGTGTAAATTCTTTATATTATTGTGACATTATTACCTTTAAGTTTGAAAATTGATTTCACTTAAATGCACTTTTATGTACAGTCAAACTCGTTAATTCGGACACCCATATCCGGATGATCTATAATCCAACTCAAAGCTAAAAACTTTCTGCGCAGTGCCCACGTTGACACATGCGCATAGGCGTTTACGCATGCGCTTAAGACCTTTTACGTCTGCCTGCTGTGTGTGCAAGCGCAGAATACGTTTTTCGCGCATTTTTATGTATAACGGACGGTATATAAGATAAAAAATATCTAATTATCATTTCAGTTAATGTTGATGATTGCGTTGTTCTAATTTTCAAATGGATCCCCGCTATTATTATTTTGCAGACTTAAACCAAACTATAAAAGTAACTTGAAACTTTCGATTTGTCAAATAGATTTCCATGTCCGAGCTCCCAAAGGATTCGGATAAAATGAAGAAAATGTTTCGGTCATCATGCTGCAAAAATGGATGAAGAATTAAAGATGAAAATGTGACAAAAACGATTTCTGAAGTTAATGTCGACACAGCGGTTTAGTGACTGCAAGAAATTATGTCTGTTTATTAGAAAGTTGATCACACTAAACGGCAACTTAAAACAACTTACATGAAAGAAAGGTTTTCTAAAGTAACAAATAAATATGAAGCTTTTTTTTGTTTTGTTGTAAATTTTGATCCCTTAGAGCATAATTGTTCTTTATTTCATAATTACGGTTTCTAATTTTGAAGGCATGCCACTTACGAGATTAAACTTTTAACTTAGAAGTCCCGACAAGTAAAATTTTGGTCAGCACTTTTCAGTAAAATTGCATCAGCTGAATACCTAAGCTATTTTTTTTTTTTTTTGGTTTAAAACATCAGACCTAAACGATTGTGGATTGTTTGGGGGAAATATGTTTTTAAATTTTTTAAATTCCCCTTGATAAGTCAACCCCTTGTAAGCAATAACTTTTTCTTTTTTTACGCATATACTGCTCTAACCTTATTTTTATGATAATTTTTTTTTAATGCATACATTACAAATTTTTAAACTTATTTTAGTTCATTAAAAGTTTTATTGTTCTTTAACCAAACCTCTTTATTAACAATTCCAAATTTATTAGGTTTACATTTCCTTCCGAGTCGTTTCATTAATTAGGTATAATTATTAATTTTCTAATTAAAACAATTTTTTAAATTAAGTAATTTAAAAGCATTACCATCAACTTCAAACCATATTGAGACTGCTAATTCTCAAACTGTTAGCCATGTTGTTTATAATCGATTATTTTTCTAGATTTTCCTCCCAACTAACATTGAGCTGCTGTTACTGAGTACTTAAAGTATGTTAATTTTTCTTTTTTTTTGAGTATTTTAGGCGTAGTGCATAATGTGGCTGAATAGCTGCCGCAACTGTTTTGTATTTTTACCTCAATATGAGACAGCTTTAGGGATCTGCTCATGAAAAGCTGTTTTTAAATAGCATCTATTAACTAGATTTGTCTAATTAAAAGAAGCTCTTTAGTTTTATATTTATAATAATTTTGCTCTTTATTTTTATATTTATAATAATTTTGCTCTTTATTTTTACATTTATAATAATTTTGCTCTTTATTTTTTATTAATTTCTATTGATCAGGATGTTATTAGATCCATAAAGGAAGTAAGTAAATAAAATTATAGTTAGTTAATGACACTCAAAGAATTAAAATTAATACAGCATCAAGTTCAGGGATATCAATCTCATTACAATAAAAAAGATACCAGAGAAACATTATGCGCATGTCCTTACACTTTAGAAAGTGGAATTTGTTTATTTTTTGTTATATTTGATTAAAGATAAAGGAAACATAAGATTTACAGTTATTTCAGAAAAATTAATTACAAAAATGGTTTCAATTTAATACAAATTTTATTTTCCTTCATGACAACAGCTCTTTTTTATAGACTCATTCCCCCTGAACATCGCAGCACCATATTGACCTTTTTCAATTTGTCTGCATCATGAGAATCAGATTTTTTGAAGCGTCACTGCACTTTCCCAGTTTTTTAAAATCTTCTGCACTAGCTGCTCTTGATGTTGACAATCCTTGTTCTTGTCATTTTTGCTGCTGCATCCCCCCTTTTTTAAATTATTTTATGCAGCAGTTTTTTTTAATGATTTTTGTCCCATGACAATTTTTTAGCATTCTTAGTGCTGATAGTTTCTTTTCTTGTAATAACTCACTTTTTGCCCCATGCATTTTAAATGTTCCAGGGAAGATATTGCTGATGATTTTGATATTTTAAAGACTTTTGCTATCAACCAAACTACAAATTCTTTTTCTTTCCAGTTTTATTTCAAAGACATATGAAGAACGTACATGACTAATGTTGCAGAATGATTTTATTTGCAGAATGATTTTGGACTATTAATTTTCACATACATGATTGAATTACATAAATTTAGAATAACTCACATGCATGAGCAATTTGCACATATTTAAAAACTGAGACATATTATATTTAATAATAACATTTTTACAAGGTACCTGACCTGAACGAAGGATGTCAGATCGTCAGAAACATTACAGCTCAGCACAGTCTAAGAAAAGCAAGCTAAGAATTGGCAAATTTTTGGCAGTACTGTTTTGCTACTTTTTATTATTTTTTAATTTTGTTTTTTAATGTTATTTATTTATTACTATTATCATTATTATTTGCAGTAATATTTGTTACCATATAAGCTTTATATTTTAAAGTTTTACACACACAAAAGTGTACCTGTATACTGTATAACAAAAGATAACAGCTGCCACCGATTTTAAGTACTGCTGTATATTATGAAATGTTTCTGTCCAAACTATTTGCACATAATTTACCAAGCCTGCATAAATCTGCTAGGCAAGTTTTCATGTTCAAGTTTGATTACCAATAATTCTATGGATAAAAGTTGTGTTTTGCACTATATCAAAATAATATATCTAATTGTTACTTTTTTCATTTTTAGCGGAATTGCTCATTTCATTTAATAATGCTTTTATAATAATGGAAAGAGAGCAATATGTTTAAAAAAAGAGATGGCATAAGACATTTTGTGAAAGTTATCACTTGATTTCCAAATATAATTTAAAAGTTATTTTTGAAAAATTGTCAGCAAGAAAAAGAAATCTAGAAAACCTTATAAGTTTTTAGTAAGAGACAAGAAAATCAAATGAGAATATTCACAGGGTGATTACAAAAGCACCATTCTGAGTGTCATCCACAAGTTGCCACAATTTCATACAGCCACATTGCAGTTAACAACAAATCTGAAAAAAGGATAACAAGTATTTGGCCATGACAACAAGGAATATGAATGGAATAAGGAAGAATTTCATTCTTTGATCCTGAATTTATATACTTCACACCCTTAATACATTCACATCTTATATCGGCAATGGGGTAAAAAAAAAAAAAAAAAAAAAAAAAAAAAAAAAAAAAAAAAAAAAAAAGTTTAACTTTGAAAGGCCAGACAGTTTCAATTGCATCTGAGGGGATTTGAGGAAAGAATTATTCTTTTCTAAATAAAACTTTGGAGATGACATCTACATAAGCACAGAATATATTCTCCTCATAAGGAACTTTGCAGTTGATATGCACAGTTCTGTATCTACATACCTGGCTTTGTGCATTGAAATTTTGCAGAACTTTTTAATTCCATTTTTGAAAACTTTTCACTTACTGAACTATCTCCAAGACAATGTAACCATATAAAAGAATAATAATATAAAGCATGAGTCAATGCTTAAATGAGTTGTTGAAAAGTCTTGCCTGCTTGCTATACTGCAATTTTACAGAAAACATTTAGGCAATGGTAAAGCATCATGTATACTCTAACAACAAATACTATAAATCTGTAAAAAAGTTCAAGAATGAAAATTCAGCAATATGGCATACTTTCAAGAAATAAACTTCAAAGTCTTTCAGATTTAATGATGAAGTACTTTACAATTTTCTTGTCTATAAAGAACTATTAATTATTGAATTAAATCTGTTGATGTCTTCTGCTATTATTGTTTAAGAAAACTTTATCAGTTAAAGTGATGTATTTTTCTCATACGATTTTAAAATAAAAATTTTGCCCCATTGAATAAAATCACTAGAGGACTGAATCTGATAGTACACGAAAATGCTTTTTGGGATGTTTATAAAAAGTGGTAATACTGGTTTCAGCAAAAATTAATTCAATAACATACAGAATACCTAAAACTGAAAATGAACATAATCTTTTCATATAAAATGTGCATGCATGTATGTATTATATATATACATCTAACCAACACATTTTATCAATAATCTACTCATTGATTATTATGTTGTAAAATGATAATGACTCACTATGAGTATAAGAATTTAACTTACACATTAGGATCACTCAGATGGTGCTTCAAGGAACTATTTTTGTTCATTTCACCTAAAAAGGGAATGATAAATAAAATAAAGTATTATTAAATCCAAATTTTGGAACATATCACTAAAAATAGGACTAAAAATCTAAATACTTTAGATATTGCTGATTGTAAAATTTAGCAATAATGGAAACTTTTACAGACAACATTTAAAACAAATTTTTGTTGGAAAACAGGGGTAAATAAACATACCATATCTAGTTTCTTCAGGTAAATTAGGAGGCACAACAACAAATCCCTGTAAAATAATGATTAGATTTCAATATGAAATAATGCAAATCCTTTATTTCCAGAAAAAATTCAATTACATTAGTTAACTTTCTCCCCTCTCGAGAAATATAGTACTTAATCCAATACAAATTACAAAGTTTTTTTTTTGCTTTAACACTTATTTCTAAAGTATTCTACCCTTTTTTTTTTCACAAAGAGTACTTTTATCTTTTTCAGTCCTTTATGTTTTGATTTCAAAGAAAAGAAGGTATTTCTTATAGGTAGCAATTTTGCATTGTTCCGCTTTTCCCCCTCTTCCATTGTGTTTTAGATTTACCCTTAGAAAGTTCTCTTTTTATTAAAAGAATAAAATCTACTACTGAAGTCTCAGAGGACCTTCATAGATATGAACAAGAACTAAAAATTTAATTAACTTTCGCCTACAATATTTAGTAAAAGATTTTGATTGTATGGAGTTTCACTCTGTGATGGCTCAATATATAGATAACCAGAATTTTGTTTTGAAATGCAACAGTTAAATTATTATACTAAAAATGGATTTTAACACTTCTGCAACCTTCTTCCCCATTGTGTGAGACTAATTAAGTCTTGAAACTAAGTTTGTATGTCACTTTCAAAACATTTAAAATTTAAAAACTTACTTTTTTATTTTACAGTCATTTAAATAAATACATATAGGTTTCATTTACAATATGGTTTCCACATCTCCTTTTTTTACATTAAAGCAGTGTTTGGCAGATTTTTATCTTCATTATGAATAATATTTTAATTAATTTTGAATTTAAAAAGATTCATTCCCTGTTTTTATGGCGTTTTTTAGATACAGAATAAGGATACATTTTATAGAAGCGAAATAATGCTACTAGTTCAAAACCGGTTTACATTTTAACAACAGACAATATTTAATTGCATGCGATAAGATTAAGATTTCAAATGATAAGTTATTCTCATTGAATCTCTGGAACACTTTTAATTTCTTTTCCAAACAAAATTTGTTGTAACAATGTGTAAATAACCTCTGCAGTACAAAGCAGTTACCAATTTAAAAAAATCAGCCTAGCATTAGAAAAATAAACTAATATTAAAATTCTAGTAGTAAAATAAAAATAATAAGTTATAATTCAAATTAAAAAGCTAAGAATGAACTGAGAATTTCTGGTGGGAGGGGGAATTTGAAACTAAAAAAAAAAAAAAAAAAAAACCTTAAAACACTAGTTTTAACTTTCCATTAAACATTTCTAACTGAATGCATTAATTACTAATCTATGAATGCAAGAAGGGAGATAAAACGAGCAGCATGCTTTAAAATATACACAGAAGTATAAAAATATTTAATTTTATAATTTTTATGGATATCTATTATGTCCTTTTATTTATTTATTTAAAGCAGAAAAGATAATTTAATAATTAATCAAAACAGTGAAAGGGGTAAACAGTTTTCATGTAAATTACATCGAGAACTGAGAAAATATGAAATGTACACCAACAAAAATTTTTTCAAGAAAAGTTTCATTGAAATCAAATCATTATATATGTTCATTTTAATGAAGCTGTTCTTCTGCATGTTATATATATTTGATAGCAAGTTTCTTTCAAATTAACAAATTTCACTATCTTTCCATATAACAACTAATTTTTTAAGAAGTATTTTACTCTACCCTTACAAAGGATAGAATATTGATAGAAGGAAAAAAGTAAAGAGGTTATTTAAAATGACATAAAATTATCAATGCTTGATTATACATATATCAGAAGGATGAACAACCTTTATAAAATTCAAAATTTACAAAGTAAATGACAGCTAGAAAAAATCTTAAATCAAACAAGGAGAGAATAATTTATTGAAATTTGAATCAGTTTAAATGTTTTAAGCTTCAGTCATATCATCATTGAAAATGCATAAAAATGTGAATAGTAAATAGTATCATTATTTACATTCTTATGTGCCTAGAAATAATTTTTGTTAAAATGAAGTTTTTTTAATAGAGAGTATTAATTATGTATGGGCAATGAAAAATCAGAAAAAAAGCTACCTGTTCAATAGGTGAGGGTGGAGAATACCGCTGCTCAGAATTTGTATACATATTAGAGTTGTTTATAGGAGATGGAGAGAGTGATGACGAACTTTGAGCCATGTCTTCTCCACCCACTTCCCTATCCCAGCTCTGTGGTGCAGGAGAGCCATAAGGGGAACTAGGACTTGAAGGAGATACCTTAGGTGACACTGAACGTCGTGTTGGTACTGGAACTGGAGAACCTGAAGAACAGACTATAGTTAATTTGAACAAAAATAACATTTATGACATGTATAACTGCATGCTGTGTACAGATATTTATACACTATGATGTGTGCCTTCTTTTCATTAGGTAGTTTACCATTATCTTTACATTAAATGCAATATTTGTTCTCTTTTACATATATATAATTTATTTCAAAGCTTAAATGGAGATACCTATATATATATAATACAGTAAAAAGTCGTTAATTCGGACACCCATAATCCGGAATGATCTATACTCTGGAATGATGTACTCTGCCTTTGATATGATTTAAATCAAATTCCTCGTCATTATAATTCGCTTCCGATAGCGAAGAAAGTCACAGAGGTTATTGAAAATGAAAAAATTTCGATTGACAAATTAGTCGGTATTCTCGACACAGCAATTATAGGACTTAAACAGCGGAACTTTGCAACTGAACAAGAAATCATGTCTGTTTATAGAATTAAAGAGAATGTATTTTCACATAAAAAACGAAGCAACTTAAACAACTTACATTGAAAGAAATGTTTAATAAAGTAAACAAATAAATATAAAGTTTTTTTTTTTTTTTTTTTTTTTTTTGGTAAATTTACAAAAAAAAAAAAAAAAAAAAAAAAAAAAAAAAAAAACCTTCAGATCATAATTGAAAAAAAAAATTCCCTTTACATCATAATTGTTCTTTATTTCATAAATTAAGGTTTCATATTTTTAATTTTATAATTTCTGCATGCCATCTTACCAGATTTAAACTGATGATCTATAATCTGGAAAAATCGATAATCCGGAATCGCCGAAGTCCTGACGAGTCCGGATTAACGACTTTTGACTGTATAGAAACTTGATACCTTTATAAAGATGAATACATTTATGTTTATATAAAAGAAAATTAACTACTCCAGCAGTTGAATAGAACTTCGTACAAATTCACAGTGCTTTGCAGCTGCACACAGAATACTTTGGATATGCAAATATAACACTATACAATATACTTTCCTCAAAACACTAATTTATTATGAAGGAGTTTTGTAATGTAATGCAACATTTTACTAGCACAATTTATAATCATTATTAGTGCAATTTATAAAAATCTTTTTACTATAGGTGATGACAATACAACAACCCTCTTTGCCTTTAAAGTATTAATCTTTTAGGTTAAAATAACATGATAATTATTATTTGAGACATCAAACACAAGAAACAGTGTTATATCTGTAAATTTTGCATGACTAATTTCAATGGTTTAATTACAGAACCATCTTCCTCAGCTGCTTAAGTGCATGCACAATTTTGCACAACAACAATTCTTGTTTGATTTCTCCAATAGTATTAATCTCTTCTTTATGTCACCACAAACCTAAACTTTTTTTTTTTTTTTTTTTTTTTTAAACCAGAGACAAGTTAATCAGCATTTGAATTAGCATGGCCTTACCTAAAAAAAGTTAGGTTTGTTTATTGCAGAACAATGGAAAAATTACTACCATAAATAATTAGTTAAAAAAAAAATTCTATGCGAAATTAAAAAAAGGGCGGAAGATGAAAATATGTGGGACAGCAACAGCATTAGCAAATGATGTCACAATATGTAGGAATCACTTTTATCAACTGTATGCAATTTTACACAATCTGAAAATAGTACAGAATCTCTTAAAAATAAATTACTGAACTGAGGGAGGGGGGGGGAAACCACGCACACAAATACAACCATTAAATTTTCTGTTTTGCATTCAAAATACAAGATTAATATAATCAGAAATATTACTTTTTTTCTGTTTTAAATGTTGAGTTAATTTACATAATCAAAGTAACTTATTCTCCAAATTAAGTTACCTAAAAATTAAAATCAACTGTTACTACTATTTCTGTTAATTGTAAGTAATTCTTCTTTCCTGCTTTTTCTTTTAGATTAACCGAATTAATTGAGAGTCTATTGTACAATGGTTTAATGTTTACAATGAATTTTTAACAGATGAATTGAAACAGTACTTACTGCTTCGAGGCACAGCTTTCAAGAATGGATGATTGAAAAGCTCATCTAAGGAATAAAAAATGAATACACAAATAAGCATAAAAAACATAAATATAAGGTAAACTTTTTCTCATATCAATGCCTAAGGAAATACAAAATCATACCAAAATCCATTCTATCTTTGGCATCTCGTTTCATCAAGCGAATAAGTAAATCGGTGAGTTCTTGAGATGTGCCACTGGGTATACTAGAAGAAAACATTATTTTATTATACATATTTCAACAACATAAATAAATATATAAAAATTTCAAAATTAAATAATAATTTTTATGCTGCCTTAATGATAGACTTTATGTATGACAGACATTAAACCAAAATTTACAAGACATTAAACCAAAATTTACAAAAATATTTTTAAGTCTTTACAAAACTGATACAAAAATATTTCATTTCCTAATAATTTAACAGAGGCAAAATAAATTTTCAGGTAAAATGATAACTTCTTTTGAATCCCAGAGGATAGTTACGTAAATAACCTACAGCCAGCTGACACACTCAAAATCAAATTCATCACATCCTTTAAGTAGAAATATTTTACAATACATATATCAATTAATTTATTTATTTACCTTTTTACTATTAAAAGCATCTAGATTTCAGTTGTCGGAAATCGGTTATATGTTCCACTGAATGAAAACTTGGGGGGGGGGGTAGTAGTAGTAGTAGTAGTAGTAGTAACAACAACTCTTGACCTCAAAAATACAGTACAGTGAAAATAAAAATAAAATTATGCTTTCTGCTTTATGATGTACATCAGTGGTATTCGAACTTTATGGCAGTGTAAACAACATATGAATTCAAAACACCAAAAACAGCTGTATGACCCTACCACAGCATTAACCCTTAGTTATATATCATCAATTCAGATTTTTTAGGATTTTTATCCACCTTGCGATCACACTATGAATTCTTGCAACCCCAAATGAGGCTACAAGCTGTAGTTGAATACCACTGGTATACATAAATAAAAATTTTCATTCCTTCATTTTAACTGAAAAAAAGATGTTTATAGAAAACACCCAAAAGAATACCCATTAGCATATCAGTTTTACAATTTTTGAATTATTTATTAATTTAGGCAATGTTTACAAAGATATATATATATATATAAACAACCACTTCTTAAAACAACTCCACAGCCCTTCAAACATCAATACAGTGTATCCTATTTAAAATCTCAGCAGAGCTTTTTCTTTTCCTGAATGTAAAGGCATGACAGTGTAACTCATAAAAAAGTAAACTAGGAAAACAGTCTTCGGCTGTTTTTGCAAGAGAAACAGATATTCAGCAGTATATCTTAGAATGATAATATTCACCTAACAAATGATTTCTGAGAATTTAGATTGATAAAATTTATTTTTTAAAGCTTTAAAACAATAAATTTTTTGAAATAAAGTACAAAAAAACAAAACAAATATAAATAAACACCATGTTTGCAAACCATATACCTAATCTTTATTTAAATAAAGGTAGGATAAAATTTTCCTAAATGTAAGCATAGAAACTTGGGGAAGGAGTTAAAAATATTAGATTTTGTAATGTTAATGAAATTGATTAAAAAAAATTAATGCCAATATTTTTATTATTTAAAGCATTTCTGTAATGGAAAGTATATATCTTTGACCAACAATCAAACATTTTTTTCTGCCTACAAAAGGAAAAATAATTCAAATTTTCCATACTTTTCTTTTTTTTTAACCACTTGCGCTACAACTAAACTTCACGGTTGCAATGCCGTGCGCTACAATATAACAAGCAGTAAAGTGTCTCATTTACACCACTCCGTGTCTGCGAGTGCAATCCAGAGCTATAACTCAAGAAATAAACAATCTCGTTCTTAGGCGATGTGTGCACCACGTTATTTTCATTTTTTCGATAAATGCCTATCGATGTGGTGTTCACATCACTCGCGGTTTGAGACAAAAGCATCTCGGCATGCGTAGCACGTCTTTTTAGCACAAGTGGTTAAATACTTGAATGGGTTGAAATTCTAATTAAATATAAATATTTTGAGCTCTTTTGTGTATAAATTTTAAATGCTCAAAATTTCAAGGCATATGTATTACATTGTTAATATATTTTTAAAAGTAAATATTGCTTTATATTAGAATTAGCGTAAGTAATTAATTTACATATAGTATGCTACATGAGTAAAAACATATTTATGAAAAAAAATTTTAATGTTTCGGATTATAACAGTCGCCCAAAAGGGTTTCTCAAGGGTTTTTTTTTATGCTCTTGCTGAGCTTGCAGCCTATCAGTTTGCTGTGGTACTCACTCCTCCTAAAACCCCCACTTTTTGCCTATTTCTTTTTAGCTTACTAAGCATCATTTTCTTTGCACATGTGCCATATACAATTCAATAGGAAAATTATAAAAACTTTAAATGCAGCTTAGCAACATATGCATTGAATTTCCGATGCAATGCTAAGTGCTTAATATATATATGTATATTTAAAGTCTTTTCTCAGTTCATAATATCAATGCTCAATTGTCTTAGTAAGATGGCTTGCGAAACTTTTTTGTCTTTTTATTATCAACATTTTGTGCGTTAATTTTATTCATTAACTTTACTAAAGATTTACAAAATATGAAATTCAAACTTTGGCTTCCAGGTACGCAAGTTCGGGTGGAGGATTACATTATTCAAAATCTGATGGCTCTCGGTACTGTCATTTATTTCACAATGTGAGAAACATGCATACATTTATGCAGATTCTTCATTATTTGATTTCTTTACAAAAAAACGCAATGATAATATTTAATGGCAACAATTTGAAAAGTGATATGCCGTTTATTGCGATTCAATGCAAAATCCCATTTCGAGACTTACAGCACATTTGGCCTAGTACAATACTTGACAAATGCTACAACACATGATTTAATCAAATTTTTGTTCCCGACAGTCATGCAGTCACAGGAAAATTATATGTAGAGAGTGATGTATGAAAAGATTTTAAAGGTAATGATTGGTATTCTTTTTTTATTTGTAGTTGCAAGCAGTAATATTAGACAGAAAAATTTTGTTATTGGGTTCCAAAAATATTAGTGAATTTTCATTTCTGACCAAAAATACTGACTGCAGAATATCTGTAAGACATCATTTAAATCAACATGATCATGGACGAGCAGCTGGACAACTTGAGGTAAGCAAAGTGTCAATCAAATTAGCACACTAACTGGCATGTCTAAGAGTGTTTTCTCATGGTTGAAGTTGACTGCGAAAGATGAAAACGCCATATGAAAGCATGCTGCAGGAGGCCACTACACCTTAAGAAAACACATATGTTGCCTTAATGACAAAAAGGAGGAGAAATGCTACTCCTTGTGAGACAGCCATAGATCTTGTCAATGCTAACAGCACATATGTATCTGTAAGAATCATTTCTCTGTTATTAAATAATGCTGGTTTATGTTCACAGAAGTCTGTTGCATGCATTCCCCTAGAAACAAACCATAATTGAGAAAAATTATATTGGTGTCAGGAACACATATTTTTGGGTCAGAAACAGATGTCAACAGCCATGCTCTACGACAAATGTGCTTCATTATTAACAGTGATTCCGAAACCAACTGCAATCTGTCACTTTAAAACACTTCAGGGTCATTTTCTGCCACCCAGCTTGCCTGATAGACATGGGAACAACAGCAGCAGCAGCAGATAGTTCATATTGCTTAACTTTTTCAAACCATTCAATTTCCATTTCGGGGATTTCGCTTAAAAAATGCATAAAAATGAAGGCTCACTTAAACCACAATCTCAAATGATTTGGAGAAAATACATGCTGTGCAGTGATGATAACATGCATTGCAATCGCAAATGCTGACAGCAAGCAACAGCCTTGAATTGCTCTTTTAAAGTGTTATTATCACCAGAAGTTCAGGAAACTGACTGCAATGGCTGAAGAATAATTGTGTGAAACATTTAAAAAAATTTTTTTATAAATATGTTTTTACTCATATAATATATGTAAATTAATTACATACGCTAATTCTAATATAAAGCAATATTTACTTTTAAAAATATATTAACTATGTAATACCCAATGCCAGAACCCCTCTTCAGTCTTTGACAGAGGTATAATGACATCATAGAGGAGATGTACAGAAATTCTCCAGGGTTACGTCCATATTTCCTGTGGTGCAGATGTCCAGATTTTCTGTTCGTGGATGACAATGCCTGCCAGAGTAGGTTAATTAAAGTACACAATATACTAGCAAGGGATGCTGTTGACATGACATGGCTTGCATTTTCCCTTCACCTAAATGCCATACAGCAATGGATGGATGGGTGATGCAATGGATGGAAGATGCAATGGGCAGACATATTACTCAAAGATAGAACACTCTTTGAACCATACAGAAACACCAAAAATCACCTTAAGAGATGAATGGGAGAGAATCCCCGAAGCTCTCCTTGTCAGTTCCAGCATGCATAATAGATGGCAAAAATATACATAGTGTATGTATTGATCATGTAAATGCATGTACTGAAAATGTGGTTAATAACGTAAATGGTCATAGTGAAAATGTTCTTAATAATAATAATGCAAATATGGATATTGCAAATCCCCAAGCAGGTAACCCACATCCGCAGTTTGACAATCGAAACTCCCTATTATGGTCAGGCCCAAAGTGGGCACAAAATATTATGACTTTTTGAAAGATTTAATGGGTGAACTACCTGAATGCAAGTTTTTTGGCTGTGTTACCGGCGAGTTCCTAAAAGTTGAACCAACCACACCTAATGACCACAGAATCCTCAGTGATTACTTTCTGAAAAATAATATTGAACATTACGTGTTTAACCCAAAAAATAAAAAGCCAATTAAAAGTCCTCATCAGAGGCTTACCCATCGATGCTGAAATTAGTACTACTGCAGAGCCTTGCACGAGCTAAATTATAATGTTAATAAAGTTGTACAATTAACTAGATTCTGTACTAAAGCCATAATGCCATTATTTCAGGCACAAATATTTCCTGACAAGAATACTGATGAAATCTACAAAGTAAAGCATTTTATGGCATAATAGAAAAATATATATCTAAGAACCAGGTGCCACAATGTAACAATTACCAGAAGTGGCACCATTCATCAGAGAACTGCCATGTTGCACCCAGGTGCGTCAAATTTCATAAAACTGGCAATTCAAAAAAAAAAAAAAAAAAAAAAAAAAAAAACTGG